TAAAAAAAAATTAAAATTAAAACTATTGCACATCTGAAATGATTTCTGATTGGAGTCTCACCAATTTGGAGGATGTTGCAGGATGCAGGGGGAACCAGAAAGATGCTGGCCAAAGACCTGCCTCAAATTGCAACCAGCATTTAAATCCCAGCCCTGAAAATGCAGGCATTGGGGAGGGGTTGGTTTTATTTCAGAAGGTACTGATGTGTCCCTGTATCTTGCAGGACATGGAAGAGGTGTGTGGGGACTGCCTGCAGCTGGTGTCAGCCGTGCAGCTGGAGCTGGGGGCCAACATTGCCTTCACCCAGACACTGGTGGCCCATGCTGAGGGGGTGTGTGAGGGCCTGAGCCCTGCTCTGGCACAGCAGGTAAGGGAATCCCACAACGGTTTGGAAGTCACCTTAAAGGCCACCCAGTTCCACCACCCTGCTGTGGGCAGGGACACATGCCACTTAGACCAGTTTGCTCAGGGTCCCATCCAACCCGGCCTTGAACACTCCAGGGGTGGGCTCCCTTCTCCTCCTCCTCCTCCTCAATGTCACTGCAGGATGGGAGCATCTTTTGCAGATGCCTGCCCAGGTGGGGCGTCCTCTCTCAGGTACTGATGCCGTGTCTCCCTCTCACAGTGCAAGCACTACCTGGCCGAGTACGTGGACACGACCGCGCAGCTCCTGCGGTACCTGGTAAGAGGGTGAGCGGCTCTCCGGGGTGCCAGGGGTGAGTGGGTGCCGGTTGAGGGGTGGGGGGGCTCATCAGCAAATGCTCCCTTTTTAAAGTTAAACTCCCACAGACTTTAAAATATTTCACCCCCCTTCTCTCTGGCTTGCAACCACCGTAATTCTTCTTTATTTTCATTTTTTCTTGCCATTTTATGGCCCGTCCACTGGCAGCAGGCTGAGGTAAGTGAGACCCATGCCCTAACAGGCTGAAATCTCCCTCCACAGGGAAGTGGAGGGTGCAGGCTCGCCCTCCCGGTGGGTAATGCCCACCTGATTTGGGATGTCTCCCTCCCCAGGACCCGATGGAGCTGTGTGGCCAGCTGGGACTCTGTGCCTCCACCTCGGCACTGCCCTTCCACACACTGCTCACAGAGAAGGTGACGCAGGTTCTGAGCATGCTGGGGGTAAGTTGGGGTGCCCCAACTCTGCCACGCTCCTTAAAATCTAAACACTGTGAAGGGGGAACCTTATTTTGCATTTTATTTCCTCAAGCATCTCCATTTTTCCAAGGCTGGGAATGTCTTACATGGGGGTTGATGGCTGAATAAGATGAGGGTGGCTCTGAGGGGGCTTGGCATGCATCCCACCACCTTGTCCCGACAGGACAGGGTGGGGAACACTCCGCTGTGTGAGGTGTGCCAGTTCACTGTGAGGACAGCTGAGAGCCTCCTGGAGAACAACATGACGGAGGTGAGTCCCACCGCTGCGCTCCGAGGGCAGGAGGGCTGAGACCAGGGGGGTTAAAGGGCAATGAGGAGTGGGGGTTTCCCTCTTCTGCCTTGTTCCGGCAGGAGCAACTGGTGAATGACATTGAAAAGGTGTGCTACATGCTGCCCCACGGCGTCATCGGGCAGTGCAAGGACTTCGTCAACTCCTACGGCAAAGCCGTGGTGATCATGCTGCTGGAGGCCACCGACCCAGCCGCCGTGTGCACCATGCTGCACTGCTGCCCCCGCGGCGGGGACATTGTGAGAGCTGTGGGGACACGGGGAGGAGCTGGCCACCCAGACTCCCCCTTGCCCACCCTGCGGGAGCTAAGCGTAGAGAGGTGCTGAGTGCTCCGTAGGTCCTTCCAGGGGGCTTGCGCCCTGCTGGAGCAGCTGGCAGATGAGGCATCAACTTGGAGCGCCTTTCCTGCAACGTCTGGCCAGATCGTTCATCAACTACTGGACAACGAGCTGCTGAGAACGATACGGCTGAGAGGAGCTGTGGCAACGTGCTGGGAGAAGGGCTGTGGGAGATGCTGCTCCATGCCCCTACGCGAGCAAGGTGAGTTGGGGGCACACCCTGCCTGGCAGGGACCGCCTGACACCCCCCGGGCTCACCCCCTCTCTCCTCCCCAGTGTGAAGCGCTCATACTGCAGTACGAGCCCGCGGCCGTGCGGCTCTTCGTGCAGATGATGGACCCCACCTTCGTCTGCACTGTAAGTGTCCTCATCCCTGGGGTAGCACAGACCAAGATGGGCACCTTTGGTCCAAACCTTGGGATATGGGAGAAGGGCGGGGGGGTCAAAGGGTGCTCATGGAGGTTTTTTCTTCTCCCTCTCACCCTTTTCCTTCGCAATGCAGAAAATCCGAGCGTGCGACTCACGCAAGGAGGATCTCCTGGGTTCGGACCCCTGTGCCTGGGGCCCACACTACTGGTGCAAGAACATGGCCACGGCAGTCGAGTGCAATGTAAGTGTCAGTCGTGTCCCCCTCTGCTGGCCGGGGGTCCCTGCATCCCACCTCCCTCCCTCCCCATCTCTCCCGCAGGCCGTCGCACACTGCCGGCGTCACATATGGAACTAGGAGCCATCTCCCCAGCTGGCTGGACTCCCTCTGCCGTTTGGTTCAGGATCCTGGCTCCCCTCCCCTGGGACGTGCCTGCACCCATGGAGGGCAATGGCAGGAGGGCTGTGGGGAACCCCAGCTGCCTCTGCCACTTCCTTTTCCACCCCTGGGGCTTGGATTTCCAAATCAGGTTAAGGGACTCGTTAGTATTTTCGGGATTGGGGATTCATCCTTGACGTCTCTCAGGGTGTAAAAATCCCCATCCCCAGTCCTATCCCCATCCCCACCTCTATCCCCAGCCCCATCCCACCCTGAACCAGATCCTGCAATGTGGAGCCATTCCTGTGGGCTGCAGTGGGTTCTGCTGCCCAAACGCAGGCCCCTCGCTCCAGGCCAGCAGCAGCCTCATGCCACAGATCTGGGGATACTTAATATATAAGCATATTGTATATATCATATATACTAAGTATCTCCTGAATATGAAATGAGTGAGTTTGGGTGCAAAGATTTACTTCCACGCACCCATTCCCGTGGGGGGTTCTGTGCTGGCCCAGCTGTGGTGGTGAGGGGCAGCGGGGTGCTGGCTCGTCCCTCCCCACCGTAGTGGGGGCACGCCTGCAGTGCCTGGTCCTGAGCATGCACGGGAGCATCTCATCACAAATAAACTTCCCGTGAGCCTGGCTGGTTGTCTCCTTCCTCTCTGTGCTGGGGGTGTGGGTAAACCCAGAGGACATTTAATGCTTCCCCTAAAATCCAGGGCACAGAAACACCCAGCGCAGCATCTCGTGAAGATGATGAACTGAAGGGGTGAATTAAGGGTAAGCGGGTTTTCTCTTTGAAAGGGGATTTGGGTGTGATGGATCTGGGGAGGAAGGACGACACACAGGTTACCCAAAGCCATAGACAGTGTATTTCTGAGTCCCGTAACAGACCGTGCCCGAAACTCTCCACAAGGTTACGACTGGAAACAAACCCCCGAACGAACAAACCCAAATGCAAGAGAGAAGGGGAAAGAAAAGGGCAACAAAAGACACGCACGAGCACTCCACATCCAGAAGCCCCAGTTATTGTCAGTCTCTCTCTTTTTTGACATCGTAACAAGTTTTGGTAAAGCCAGCAAAATGGAGAAATGTCTTCGGTTTGTTGTTTTGTTTTGGTTTGGTTTTTTTTTTTCTATTTTTTTTGGGTCTTTCCTTCCCAGAAAGGTGACGTTAATGCCAAAAAGGACTTGGCCTCTCCCCACACTGCCCCGGCTCTCCCCATGCCCATGGTCGAGATGTGACAGCTGCTGGTCCCCAGCCTGGGCCCAGGGATGCTGCAGCAGCACATCATCCCCATCCTCACCGCACCTTCCCCCCCGTCCGTCTGAACTCATCGGATTCGTTTAGCTTTTCTTTTCCTTTTTTTTTTTCTTAAAAAAAACCCCTTTTTTTTCCTTTGTTTTAATAAGAAAAATAAAAAAAAAAAAATTAATGCTTTCATGGATAAATGACAGGCGAGTAAAAGCATTCCGGTCCTGAGAGCCCTTTCCCGGGGCCAAGCTCTCCGAGGCTGCTGGAGCGATCTGCACCGGTCAGCCTGGACTCCTTCTGCAGGGGAAGAAGGGGCCAAGCACCGGTCTCGGGGTGCCCCTGACCCCCACCACGGCCCCCCTGGTCTGTGCTTCATCCCTGCCGGCCCCGGCTTGCCTAGAGGAGCACCACCACCACCGCCACTGCCACCACTGCCGCTCGTCATAACTCAGTGATCTCCAGAGGGCTCTCCATGATCACCTCCCGCATCTTGTGCAGGGGGGTGGACTTGGCCGACTCGGTGCGGGCGTTGTGGTCGCTGTAGCCCCCGCAGTCAGCGGTCAGAGTCTCCAGCGAGCGGCCCAGCACCTTCTGGTCGTCCTCGGGCAGGCTGTTGAGGTCGGAGGCGAGCAGCGTGCCCGTGCTGCCATGCACCACGTGGATGCCGTCGGGACCCTTCAGCTCCACCGGCTGCTTGTGTCGGAAGCGGAGGCTGCCCTGGCTGGGACTGCGCTCCTCCTCCTCCTCCTCCAGCTCCTTCTGGATCAGCTGCAAAAGAGCCATGGAGTGGGAGAATCACCGCCGTGGCCAGAGGAGCTCCTGGATCCCCTGGCTCCAAACCTCCTGCAATGCTGGAGTCCAGGAGGGATGGGCCCTCCTCTTCTGAAGCACCCTCAGAGTGCGGTGATGAGGATCACCAGGACATGATCTCCAGCTGGGTCACTCAATCCTTGGGTGGATGTCCCAGCTCAGGCACTGGCCACCAGCTGGGTTGTGTCCTGCAGCAGCCCTCACAGTGGCCAAGGAGGAGTTTGGACCCAGGTTGGGATTTTGGGTTGTATGAGGGTGGTGGGGTAGGAGGCAGACAGGAAAAGGAGTTGGATGTGCTGGAGGGGGATAAAACATGGATAATGGAAGGCAGAAGGGTTGAAAGGCATCTCCCATCCCACTGCTCTCCTCTGCTCTCTTTGCCCCTCGTTTTGCTCTCCATGAAGGAGTGGAAGGCTGCAGAAGGACTTGCTTCTCCCCACACCAGCACCTTCCTGGGGTTGACAGGCTCAGAGGAGCAGAAGGGAGGGAAGATGTTCCCCCACAGTTTTGGCCAGCCTTGGCAGAGGTGAAGAGCTGATGGACAGATGTCACCCCACAAAGAGGAGGGGTCCTCCTTCAGGAGGGACAGACCAGGGAAGAAGGTGCTGCTGATGCTCAGAGGAAACACGGAGGGTCAAGAGAGCTGGGGCACTGTGGGGAACCAGCAATCTCAGTGGAAAACCAACATCTGGCTCATTTTGGCCAAGCAGAGAACAGGGGGACCACTGGGTGATGGGGATCCAGGCCACATGGAGTGACTGCAGCCTGTGGGACCGGGAAGACACACTGCATCCCAGAGGGCACGGCAAGCACCTCCCCATGCCCACGCACACCCCTCTACCTCCGAGACCGAGGAGCGGTCCCCCTGACTGGCGGTGGCCTTATGCACCATCCGCTGGGCAAAGAGCTTTTTCAAGCGCATGTAATCATCCAGGACCACCTTCAGGAGAGTGCCCTGGGTGGAGGGGGAGAGATGGGGGGTTACCCAGGGGACACAGTTTGATGGGAGGGAGGGAGGCTGGCCTCATGCCAGCAGTTTTTGGAGCGACATCACCCTCGGGCACCGCCGCTGCGGACCTGGAAGGTGTAGCAGTAGGAGAAGACCCCTCGGTGGGGGATGCCTGCACCCAACACTCACCTTGATGGGTCCCTCCCGCATGATCTGCCCCAGCTTGGCAATGTTGTCGTACTCCTGGATGGCTGCGCGCAGGTAGCGGTCGTCCTCGGGCTTGGCGGCCGAAGGCTCTCTCCCGAAGGTCCCCTGCAGGAGGAGAGAGCAGCTGAGGAGGTGGCACAGGTGACAGGCGTGGGGAGATGTGTCCTGGCGGGGGCTGTGTCTCACGTGGGTGCGGGCAGGGCTGTTCCAGAGGTCCGTGATCTCGCTCAGGTTCTCGGGCAGGTCGTCCTCGTGCTCCGCCTGTGCCGCCAGCTCCATGTTCCTGCAGAAGGGGTCCAGCCACACGGGGTTGGCCCTGCCCAGAGGAGGGGAACAGCCATCAGCGCAGGCAAAGAGCAGCAGTATCCCATACCCCATCCAGAGCCCAGATGCTGAGGTTGTGCTGCCTCCTCCTGCCCTGCGCAGGTAGGAATTTGGCTGCTCTGGATCCAGATGTGTGCCAACACCTGCTCATCGCCTCTGCTTGCCCCAGACCTGGTCAGGATTGGCAGAGATGGAGTCACAGGAGAAAGCACAAGCTTTTTTTGCTTTGAAAGCTCTCAAGACAAGCACGTGCCCCAGGGCCAGAGCCACACTCCACACAGAGCAGAGCAGCGAGACATCACGTCTCCACCTCCAAATGCCTCTGGCTGCTCTTGGGAGCAGTCAGCAACCCCAGGAGGTTGCCCATTAGAGAGGAAGGGAAGCACTCACCCATCAAAGGAGTACTTGTTAGTGTTTGGCATGTCCATGATGTCCATGAAACCTCTGTTTCCTGCAAAGGCAGGGACGGCCGTTACAGCACAGCCCGTCAGTGGGCTGGGCAGCAAATCACAGTGTGACACTTCTTTACCAGGGAGGGAAACTGTGCAACCAGAAAGGCACCAGTGGTGTGAGAAACACTCAGGGATGTGGCTGATAATGCAAAGCCTGGATGCTGGGAAAAGCCTCCCACCATCACGCCTCGCTGGGCAGGATCACTGCTGATGCATCCCCCGCTCTCCCTGTGTTCCCCCTCTGTGCTCTCCATGCACCCCCTCTCTCATGCAGCTGGGACACCCCAAACACTGCTCACCGGTGGAGCCAGCCACTATGGCTTTCAGTTTCCTTTTGTGCCTGCAAAAGAAACACAGCGAATGAGGACGGAAAATAAGGAAGATGCTGAAAAGGAGAGTGACACACAGACTTGCAATAACCCTTCACACAGGGATACCATAAGGCTGGTAAGCATGAAGGGGAGAGGTGCTGTCAGCATTAAAATGATATATTGTGGAAGAAGAGGTGTTGGGAAGCTGAAGCCCTCCTTTGCTTGCTGGCATTTCCAGGGCTGGGAGCAGCCACGTGGGTCCCTGGCCCACAGGGACATTGCAGCTGGTGGGGCAGAGCTTGGGTGTTACTCACACTGTCCTGTAGTACCAGTTCATGAGGATGAAGAGCATGGCAGCCAGGAAGAGCAGGACGGCCAGCACGATGATTGCCATCTGGGAGAGACAGAGGGGTGGTGGAAACCTCTGGCATGGAGCCAGCACCCAGTGGTGGGCACGCACTCGAAATTATGAGGGTGAAACATCTCTCCAGTCCACGACCAGTCCCCATCAGAAGGGACGTGGCCCCACCTGTGAGAAGCATCTCCAGCCCAAGCCGGGCCATTACCTGCAGAGCTGAGAGGTCATCTGGCGCCCGGGCAGTGATGGCAGGCTGCACGTCCAGCACGTTGTAGTTCCTGAAGAGATTCCTCAACTGCTCCTTGTTCTCGTCTATCATCTGAATAACCCTGGGAAGAGAAGGGTTGCTTCGGCATCTTGGCATTAATGAGGGTCCCCGAGGCCCCACGGGGTGGGTGATGGGCCAGGGGTCGTACCGCTCCACGTCCAGGATGCGGTTGGTCTCCCTGTTCACCACGTGGATCAGCAGCTCCGTCTGTGCGAAGTTCACCCGACCTTTCTTGTCAACATGGAACTGGGGAGACACAACAAGGTCTGCAAGTGTGGGAGAGGCGTCTCCTCCTGGGTGTGCCCCGAGGTTGCTCAAGGTGGCAGGAGACCCTCAAAAGCATCAGTCTGGACCCCTGGGATCCAATCCATCACCTTCAGAGCTCAGAGGTGTCTATGGCTTACAGACAGGACTCTCACACAGGAGACCTCCCAAGCAGCATCTGGAAGGGAGTTGCCAACCCCTCAAAGCAGCCTCCAAGGTGGATGGTTACCTGCACGTCATCCGTGTTGACGATGGCGCCCGTGATGTTGGAGAGCAGGCTGATGAACTCCTC